GAAGAGGGTCTGTGCAATCCTTCTGCCTAGTCCGCCATCTTGCCCCGCCTCTCCTCACCTTATTCTTAAGATGTAGACTCTTTTTAAGACAAAACTGTAATACATACATAATACTGTTTCTCAGTGTAATTTTATTATCTATTTCTCTTATGGGTAAGGTTGAGTAACTATGTTTAAGGCCCATTTGTATTTACCTATGAACTGTTTTTTTAAAAAAATTTCTTTTTCTTAATTGATCTTTTCCTTTATTTTTAGGAGCTCTTTTTATATTAATAGGTAATTAGTCTTTTATAATATGAAATATTTTTCCAATTTGTGATTTTAGTCTTTTAACTTCTTTCTTTATGTGTGTTTGTTTGTTTGCAGAAAGTTTTGGCTTTTAGCTAAAAAAATATATCATTGTCTATCTTCTGTGGCTGTTGGATTTTGAGTCATGGTTTAAAATGCTTTTCTAGTGTCCACTCCAAGGCTGTAAAGAAATTAACCCATGTTTTCTTCTAGATGTGTATGTTTTCATGTTGTGCATTTGGATCCATGTAGAGTTTATTATGATATGTGATATAGTGGATCCAATTTTTATGTTTTTCAAGTGACTATTCAGTTGTTCAAAAACTATTTATTAAAATGACTTTCTTTACACCTTTGATTTGAGCTTCTGTCCTTATCATATACTTAATTCCTTATATATACATTTGAGTCAGCTTAACTACTTACAGATAATTCAAGTATAGACAAAAGTATGAATCATCCAGTATCACCCAGTTTCACTGATTATCAGTATTTTGGTATTTTTGTTTTATCTACTTCCTTTTTCCTCCTTATTTTTTGGGAGTATTTTAAAGTTATCTTGGACTTACCAATTCATCCTTAAGTACTTCAGTATGTATTTCTAATAAACCAAAAAACCAAACTTGCTGCCATTGAGTAGATTCCAACTCATAGTGACCCACTTTGGGTTTCTGAGGTGGTAAATCTTTACGGAAGTAGATTGTCCAGTCTTCCTTCCACAGAGTGTGGCTCATGTGTTTGAACTGCCAACCTTTTAGTTAGCAGTCAAATGCCTTAGGCACTATGCCACCAGAACTCTGTATTGTGAAGGTTGGGCAATCTACTTCTGTAGAGATACTGCCTAGGAAACCCAAGGGGAGGGGTTGCTGTGAGTTGTGACCGAGTTGTCGGCAGTGAGTTTTAAGGATAAAAAAAAAAAAATAAAACCACAGTGTCATTACCTTCACTAGAAAACTTAGTGCTAATTAATAATAAATAGTAATTAGTACTCTTAACTCAGTATTATCCAAATCTAGTTTAGTTTGCCCTGATTATTTTTAAATTGTCTTTTTACAGTTGATTTTGTTCAAAATCAGGATCCATACAAGCTTTTCACACTGCATTTGATTGATGTCTTTTAAATCTTTAAGTCTTCCTTAACTGTCATGTAAAATTTTCTCTTCTTTTTGATTGTTTTGTGATGTCTCTTTTCCCTTTGGCTCCTTGTATAAACGTTTCAGCGTGCCTGTCTTAAATGATTTTGTATCTTTTCTTCAATTTCTTCCCTGATTTCTGCAAGTTCTTGTTTCACATAGTTTTGCTATCTGGCTGTTACCCACTGTTATTGATGTCCTTTTGGTGCTGTGATTGCATCCTTAAGTTTTTTAGTTTATTTTGGAATGCTACTATACTGTTATCAGCTGTTTTGTGGTAACATTTCTTGGGTGAGTATTCACTGTCTCTTGGAAAGCTATGCTGCTCATTTTTTTATCCTTTTCCTTATGGTTTTTTGTGTCAAGGCAGATGGAATGCCTTTTCAGTTACTCAACTTTTAATGAGATGGCTTTTACTTGATGAACAGTAGGAAGAATTTCCTGGATTGGGGAGTGGGCTCAATTAGCTTTCCAGCTTCAAAACAGAAGTGTTGTCTCTTCAGCTTTGCTTTTCTGGCTATGAAAGCCTGGTCTGGTTAGAAAGGATTTTACTTTGATATCTGTGTTTCCCTGAATTCCTCACAACCTTTGCTTTTCAAGGGAATGCTTGTATTTTCTGAGTGCCTATTGTCCCCATTTTCTCTTTTCAGTTCTTCTCATTTCAGTCCTTTTCTTTTTCTTCTTCTCCCAGCAACCCATCCCCCCAACTTTTTAATTAACCTGCCTCCTGCTCTCATCTTCTCCCTCTTGGGGTGAGGCCCCTTAGTAGCCCATTTTTCCTGTGGCCTCCTAATGATTTGACCTAGATATTGCTGGTTAGCTTTGTCTTTTATGTCACCAGCAGATGTTTTCTCATTCTATTGTTTCCACTCAGGGTGGGTCCTCTGCACTCCCCTTTTCCTATAGTGTATTCAGCACACCTTGTGGTTCTTGTACTGGTATTGTGAATTCAGGGAGATTTTCGTCGCATTTCCAACTCAAATTTGATTTACAAATTGTAAAGATTTAAGTTTGTGTACTTCTCTCATCTACTAAAGATACAGCTTTTGTTTTGTTTTGGTTGTCCTTGTTTCTCTGTGTAGTTTTCATACTGATCTTAATATGTATCTTTTAAAATTTATTCCTGGATATTTTGTCTTTCTGTTGCTAATAAAAATGGGTCTTTTTCTTCAAACTGGTGGTTGCTTATTTGTATTCTCTATTTTGATCTTGTTTCTATGCTGCCCCTCTCGTTATTTAGAATAGTTGATTTTCTTAGATTTTCCTGGTATGCAAATATATCACCTCTCAGTGTTGTTGTTGTTGTTGTTATGTGCCCTCGAGTCAAACCCGACTCATAGCGACCCCTCCTTGGGTTTCCGAGGCAGTATCACTACGGAAGTAGGATTGCCCAACCTTCCTTCCGGGAGTGACTGGTGGGTTTGAACCGCCAGCCGTCTGGTTAGCAGGCAAGTGTCTTAGCCACTATGCTACCAGAGCTCCCTCACCTCTCAGTAGTAACAAGTTTTACCTTTTGTGTTCTAAATTTTATATCTCGTGATTTTATTCTTTTGTCTAATTGTTTGACATTTTAAATGGTCATGATGATATTAAAGATCTGTCTTTGTTTTATTCTTGCTCTAGGAGTGTTTCTTTCATTTCTTCATTAAGCATGATACCAGCATTGAGACTTAAGATTTTATCATGTTGATAAACTATAGCTATTTTTATTTTACTGAGTCAAGAATGAATAGTGAATTTTATCAAATGATTTTTAACATCTCTGGAGAAATTTTGATTTTTTAAATTTAGATCTATTATTTTGAAGAATTTCACAAATAAATTTTCTAGTATTAAGCCATTACTCTATTCTTATAATATTGATGTTTTAAACTTGTGTTATCTCCCCATAGGCTTGTTAAATAGTCTTTATATGCTTGAGAATGATCTATATTCTCTTAATTACGGAGTCCAGGCTTGCCCATTTGTCTAGTAAATCAAATTCATAATTTTGTTCAGATTTTCTAAAATCTTACAGATTTTTGTTTACTTGGTAAACGTTCTTGAGATACCCACCACTGCTGTTGATTGCAACTTCTAGTGATGTCGAAGGGGAGACTACACCTGCCCAATAGTGTTTCCAAGGCTGTCAGTCTTTATGGAAACAAACTGCCTCATCTTTCTTTTGAGGAGCAGCTGGCAGGGTTCGAACCACTGACCTCTTAGTTAGCAGTTGAGCTCTTTTAACCACTGTTCCATCAAGGCTCCTGTACTTGAGATAAACCAAAACCAAACCCAACCTATTGCCAGAGAGTTAATTCTGACTCAAAGTGAGCCTGTAGGACAGAGCAGAACTGCCCCATAGGGTTTCCAAGGCTGTAAATTTTCACAGAATCATGCTGCCTCATTTTTCTCCCATGGAGCAGCTTGTGGATTTGAACTGCTGACCTTTTGGTTAGCAGCTGAATGCCTTACTGTAGTGCCACCAGAGCTCCTATTCTTGAGATAGGAATGTTAATATCTTCCACTGTGATGATGGGTGGATTTACAGTTTTTCGTTACAATTATTTACATAAATAGAAACTATTAAATATAAAATTTAAGAAGTTTGATGTCTTTTTGTTAAATTGTCCCTTTTAACATATGTACTGAATTTATCCCTTATAATGCTGTTAGCTATATTGTTCTGTTTTATCTGATGCTGTAACTAATACCACCTAAGTATTATAATTTGAACTTTAAATTTGTGTAAGGTATATTCTCATCTTAGAGATGATAAGGGAAGACTTTTCTATAATTTCCTATTCATTGTGAACCAGATATGCTTCTTTATTGACCCTGTGTTGTTAGGATTGTAGCCCTTTGAGGTGCTTGTCTTTATGTGATGCGGTGAAAGGGATGCGTCTCAGTTTTTGATCCTTTGTGTTCCCAAGACTCATGGTCTCAGGTCTCCATGAGGGCTTAAGATGCTCATGGGTTACAGAAATAATCCGACAGCCAATTTTCTGTGTTGTCAGTTTATACTTATGACTCTGCTTTTGACTTTTTTTTTTTTGTAGGACTATGGATTTCTTTTACTTTCTTGACAACTCATCTATGTGTTTGAGGGGATGTTTCCTATGTAAACCTGTTGCCGTTGAACCGATTCTGACTCCTAGTGACCCTGTAGGACAGAGTGAAATTGCCTCGATATATTTCCAGGGCTGTAGATCTTCATGGGAGCAGAGTGCTCCATCTTTCTCTTGTGGAGCAACTGTTGGGTTCAAATTGCTGACCTTTAAATTAGCAGCTGAGTGCTTAACCACTCTACCAACAAGGCTCCTTGTCTGCTATATGACACTCTTCATTTTTTAGGTGTGTAATGGAAGAATTTCTAGGTGATCCTGTCAGCCACATTGCTGGAATTGCAAGTCCTCAAATTAAAGACTTTTCCTAAACCCATGATGGTGGATGTTTGATAGAGAGAGAGAAAGGAAAATTTCTTTCTGTTGACGTTTTTCTTTTTAGCATGCAGCAGAATTGATTAAAACAGTGGCATCTCGCTATGATGAATATATCAATGTGAAGGATTTTTCTGACAAAATCAGCCGTGCCCTTACTGCAGCAAAGAAGGATAATGACTTTATTTATCATGATCGAGTTCCAGACCTTAAAGATCTAGACCCTATTGGCAAAGCTACATTTGTGAAATCTACCCCCATCAATGTACCCATCAGCCAGAAATTCACTGGTATGTTAAGTATTCATATGTACTTTATGTAATATTCTCATCTTTTCTCCACCGTTAATGTTTATTTTGTAGCTAAAATCACATAGTTGCTGTTGTATGCTTTGAATTTGCATTCAGGTGGTTCAAAGTAGATGTGAGAATAAAAATTAAGTATCGTGATATCTTTACTGAAATTTTAAGATAGAAAATAAATGGTAATAAAGCATATGTGAAGTGTGTCACTGAGTGGAAAACTTAAAACTTTGTATATTTCAGTAATGATAAAGACTTTAAATAAGCTTTTGTCATTTATGAATGCAACATTTATTATTTATGATATCCTCATTAAAAACAAATATGTATCAGTGTGATTTTAAACATGTAAATGTTTAGAGTCATATTTGTATAAGATACATAAATGTTATGTTACCCTTGGATATTGTAGGTATATGCAATATATGGTAGCCTCTAGCTGAGACCCCAAGGATAATATTCTGAGTTACTGGGAAAGGATGGTTATTTACTCATTTTTATTTAGGAAACACAAAATATTTACCATGTGCCATGAACTTTTCTAAGCACTGTACAAACATTAGCTCATTTGTTTCTCATAACATCCCAGTGAAGCATAGGTGCTATAGTTATACCTCATTTGACTGATTAGGACATCGATGCACATAGTGGTGTGGTAACTTGCACAAAATCACATAGCTAGGAAGTGGTAGAGCTGGAAATCAGACGCTGGCACTGTAGCCTACTTACTAACCTGTTTAATCAACAATTGAAAAGTGTTTTCTCAGGTGTAACTCTTTTCTTTCTTACTAAAATCCCTCGAGCTCAGTTGTATGTACACATCTTTAAGAGCTAATAAAATTAAGTTTGAAGAAAAAGCTTTCATTATTGTCATTGACCGTAACTATGGTGATCTAAAAATTCTGTTCATTGTGCTTCTAGTAGTAATTTAGGTATTTTTTCTTTTTAATTTTATTATGAAATGTGTACAAAACTATTTGCCAGTTCAACCAGTAATGATTTAGCTTTGATCTTTAAATACCTGTAGACCCTTTTTGTGAATATTATAAAGAGAATATGAACAATTACTTTATAGTTTTGAGTTTTTGTCTTAAAGTTTTGTTGAAATTTCCATTTCTTGTTTTAGATCTCTTTGAAAAGATGGTTCCTGTGTCAGTACAGCAGTCTTTGGCTGCTTATAATCAGAGGAAAGCTGACTTGGTTAACAGATCAATTGCTCAAATGAGAGAAGCCACCACTTTGGCAAATGGGTAGGTAGAGCTTAACTTTCATAAATTTATTTCTGCAGCTCTAAGTTTCCTATCTGGTAGTTCTTTTAAGTGGTTTTTATGAACATTTTAGTTTTCTGAGCTTGGAGCTAAATGCCAAGATTAGTTGAGATACCAAATGTAGACACACACAAACATGCACAGGCACACACATTTCTTGGGGACACTATATTTACTAAGCCCTAGCAAATATGTTATGATTGGAAGAAGTTTAATTACTTCCACAAGGGGAAGATATTTTGAGTACTAATTTTTATTTTAGGAGCTATTTATTTGAGGGAAATGAGAAGTAGAAATGAACTTTTTAAGATGAATATGCATTTAGTATTCTACTTATTTATGGTGGATGATGGATCGAAGATTAAGGAAGTAATTTATTGGTTTAAAATTTTTTTAGGTATCATTTGTACACTATAAAAAATTTTTTTAAAAATACATTTTGTTGAAATATAATTTATGTACAGTGAAATACACAAAACTAAAGTGGCATGGGTCAATGCATTTTTTTTTTTTGCAGTGTTCCCTCGCTTCCCCTCCCACTCCGATAACCAACAAAGAAAGTTTCCTTCCATATATAAACCTTTCCTTGACTTTTTACAATAATGAACTAATACTATATTTGTTCTTCTGTGATTGACTTATTTCACTTAGCATAATGTCCTCCAAGTTCATCCATGTTATGTGGTGTTTTGCAGATTGTACATTATTCTTTATTGTTGTGTAGTATTCCATTGTGTGTGTTTACCATAGTTTGGTTATCCATTCTTCTGTTGATGGGCACCTAGGTTGTTTCCATCTTTTTGCTATAGTTAACAGTGCTGCGATGAACATGGGTGTGCATATATCTGTTCTTGTCCTGGTTCTCATTTCTTTAGGATATATACCTAGTAATGAGATTGCTGGGTCAAATGTATTTCTAATTCCAGCTTTTTAAGGAATCACCATACTGCTTTCCACAGTGGTTGTATTATTTTACAGTTCCACCAGCAGTGTACACATAAAATTTTAAGTGTATATGCACTTCTTTATTAAATGTACATACTTGTGTAACCACTACCATGATCAAGATAGAGAACATTTCTACCTCCTATAAATTCCCTCATGAATCTTTCCATTCAAATTTCCTCTTCCCTGACCTTAGCTACATTGATTTGCTTTTTGTCATTGTATTTTATTTTTACTTTTGATACAATTTCATATAAACAGAATCATTACTGTATGTACTTTTTTATGTTTATTTCTTTCACTTAGCATGTTTTTGAGCTTTGTCTATGTTGTTGTTGCAGTTTGATCTTTTTTATTGCTGAGTGGTATTCTGTTTTATGGTTATTCAACAGTTTGCTTATTCTTTCACTTTTTGACAGACATTTGAGTTGCTATGAGCATTCATGTACAAATCTTTGTGTGGTCCTGTGTTTTTATTTCTTTTAGGTAAATACCTAGGAGTGGATTTGCTGGGTTCTATAGTTAATATTAGGAGCTCTGGTGGTATAGTGGTTAAACCATTTGACTGCTAACCAAAAGGTTGGCTATTCGAACCCACCAACTGCTCTGTGGGAGAAATATGAAGCAGTCTGCTTCTGTAAAGATTTACAGCCTTGTAAACCCAACGGGGCAGTTCTACTCTGTCCTATAGGGTCACTGTGAGTTGGAATTGACTCCGTGGCAGCGTCCCCCCCCAATAGTTAATGTATGTTTAACTTTATAAGATTAAATTGCCAGGTTGTTTTCCAAAGTGGTTGCTGTTTTATATTCATATGTGCTTTGTTTGAGAAATGTAGTTGCTCTGTATCCTCACCAGCACTTGGTATTGGCACTCTTTTTAATTTTAATTGTTCTAGTACATATGTAGCAGTATCTCATTGTGGTTTAATTTGCATTTCTCTGAAGATACTGAGCAAATTTTCACGTGCTTATTAGCCATCTTTTGTGTAGGGCCTGTTGAAATGGTTTGCTTTTTTTTAATTTAGTTTTTCTTCCTAATGAGCTTTAAAGATTTCTTTACATATTTGGAGGCAAGTCCTACATATATATATATATATATATATATATATATATATATATATATATATTTTGAAGATATATTTTTTTCCCAGTCAGGCTTTCTTAATGATGCCTGTTGAAGAACAAAAGTTTTTAGTTTTGAGACATGCATGGATTTTGACGATTCTTTTTTTATCTAGCAAGAAAGCAACAGAAGTATAATATGTTTAAAAGGTACTCTGAGTTAATACAGAGCTTATTTTCTGAGGAGTTCATTGTGTTATATCATTGCCTGTTTTATCTTACAGTCCAAAACTAAAACCAAACCCATTGCCATCAGTCAGTGCTGATTCATAGCAACCCTATAAGGACAGAGTAGAACTGCTCCATAGGGTTTCCAACACTGTAAATCTTTATGGAAGCAGACTGCCATATCTTTTCTCCTGCAGCGTGATTGGTGGGTTTGAACCACTGAACATGTGTGTTAGCAACCAAACAATTTAACCACGGTGCCTCCAGAGCTATTTTATTCCATAGTACGATAGGGATAAGCTTTTTTTCCATCATGTAAATGAAGTACTTGAAGATTTATTGTGCTGTGAACAGAGGAGGATTTTCTAATTCAATGCTTAGATCAACTGTGTTGTGTTGACATACACATACAAGAACTTTTGTATGTTGTTTGACTTTACTGACAATATAATAAGACTAGGTATAAAAGGCTGCCTTTTTAAAGGTAACATTATTGACTTATAATTTTGATTGTAATTGGTAATTATTTCTTTCCTATGTAGGCATATAGACTGGAAGGCATTAGATATGAGCTTTGAGCAAGATACCTAGTAAATTTTGCCGCTATAGGTTTTTATTTTTTGTTTTTATTAACTTTTTGTCTTTTAATTCTAAAATATAAACAGGTAATTTAAATATTTAAAGATTCAAATTTTTACCATTTTCTGTTTTTTCCTTTCTCATTTTATTTTTCCATCAATAGAGCTTATTTTAGGAGCTCTGCTGGCATAGTGCCTAAGGCATTTGACCTCTAACTAGAAGGTTAGCAGTTCAAACCCACCACCCACTCCTCAGAAGGAAAACTGGGCAATCTCCATAGAGATACTACGTCGGAAACCCAAGGAGGGGTCGCTGTGAGTTGGAATTGACTCGACAGCAGTGGGGGCTTATTTACTTTTTTTTTTTTGATAGCTCCATTTCTGTGGATTTGGATATAGGAAATTAGTAGTTTAAAGATTGTCTAGACTTTTAGGTGACATAATATATCTTCTTTTTCTTTTCTCCTTCAGCGTGTTAGCTTCCCTTAATCTTCCAGCAGCAATTGAAGATGTATCTGGAGATACTGTACCTCAGTCGATACTGACTAAGTCTACATCTGTGATTGAACAGGGAGGTATTCAAACTATTGATCAGTTGATCAGGGAGCTTCCAGAACTACTACAAAGAAATAGAGAAATCCTGGATGAGGTATGGTAAAACCCTTCTAAGTTTTCTAGAGCTATTGAGGTTGGATGAGCTTTTGAATCTATTGCCCTGAGGTAGTCTTTAAATTTTAAACCTTAACCAAAAATATCCCCTTAAGTCTTCTTTAAACTAAACAGTACTTTAGATTAATTACTAAGGAATGTCTTCCTTGAGCATTGTGGTTTTTTCAGAACTGTTTATATGGGATCACATTGCAAACTGCAACTTGAGAGATTAGGTAAGAAACTTAGTGAGAAGTTAGTTCATGTTAATGGGTGAGGAACAGTTAGGAAAAGGAGGGCAAAAATGGTTACACTTTTGAATGTAATCAGTGTCACTGAATTATACATGTAGAAATTGTTGAATTGGTGTATGTTCTCTGTATATTCTCAACAACAAAAATAAAAAACAAAACAAAATGCACTGTGATCCCTCGGTATTTATCAGAGATCAGAGTGGAGGCTTCCTCCTGTTGGGTTTCACAGAGTAGTAGTCATCACTTTGAAGAATTATTGTGGTCCAGAGCCTGCCTTTCACTTCAGGAAAGGAATTCTGATTAAGAATTGGTTCATTTGTGTTTTAAGAGTAAATAAATCCATATTAATGAAAGTAATATAATTATGTAAAATTTGTATACTGTGAACAACTACTGTTACACAGATTGTTCACAGTAAATTCTTCAAGGTGATCTTTATAATTAATCATTTCTTTCCTACGAAGGGGTAGTGGGTTTCTTGGTGAACATGAAGCAGACAAAGAAAGTTAGGGTATCAAACGTTTTATAAGCCTGCTCACACATCCTTCAGTAAAGATAATGTTTTATCAGTAGAAATGAAAGACTCAGAAGTTTCAGTTCTCTAAAGTAAACTGTCAATAATACTCTCCTTTATGGCTTCTTCACTTTTTCCCTCTAAGTGATATATTCTTATAATCAATCCACCAAGAAGATATAACCATAATAAATACTTATATAACCTAATTATAGGGCTTCAAAATACATAAAACAAACTCTAACAGAATTGAAAAGAGAAATAGACGGTTCTACTATAATATTAAGAGACTTTAACCCACCAATTTTGATGATGGATAGAACGAATAGAAATAAGCTCAACAAAGATAAACAAGATGTAAATAACACAATCAGCCAACTTGACCTCATAGACATACACAGAACACTCACTCCAACATTGCACATTCTTCTTCAGTGCACATGGATCATTTTCCAGAATAGACCATATTTTAGGCCATAAAGCAAGTCTCAATAAATTAGAAAACATTGAAATACTATAATGTGTCTTCTCTGATCATAGCACTATAAAATTAGAGATCAATAACAGGAAAAATGAGAAAAAAAAATCAAATACCTGGAAACTTGAGTAACACCTTGCTTAAAAACCACTAGGTGATAGAAAAAATAAAAAATTTTAGAATCAAATAAGAATGAAAACACAACATACCAAAACTTTTGGGACACAGTACAAGCAATGCACAGAGAATTCATAGCAAGAAATGTACACATCAAAAAACACAAAGAAGATGGTCAAAATTAATAGCTTAACCCTGCAACTAGAAAAAATAGGAAAAAGAGCAGCAAAAGAAGCCCACAGTCACAAGAAGAAAGGAAATAACAAAGAGAAGAATTAAAAGAAACAGAAAAGTAGAATCAGTAAGAGTAGAAATTGGTTTTTTGAGAGGTTCAGTAAAATAGACAAACCACTGGCCAAATTGACAAAAAAATGAGAAGATGCAAATTATCAAAATAATAAATGAGATGGGTGACATTATAACAGAACTAACTGAGATAAAAAGGATCATAACAGAATATTAGGAAAAAGTGTACTCCAACAAACAAGAAGAGAAATGCAGAGAAAATTGAGAAGAATACACATTTCTGGAAACACACTACCTACCTGCAGTAACAAAATCTGAGGTTGAAAATTTGAACAGATCCATAACAGAAGAAATTGAAGAGGTTGTGCAAAAAACAAACCCAACCACAAAAAGCCTTGGCCTGGACAACTTCATTAGAGAACTCTACCAAACATTCAGAGTAGAGTTGACACCAATCCTGTTCAAACTATTCTTGAACAATGAAAAGGATGGAATGTGCCTGAATTCTTTCCATGAAGCCAGGATAACCTTGATACCAAAGCCAGGCAAAGATACCACTAAAAGAGAAAATTATGGACCTATAGCCCTAATAAATTTAGATGCAAAAATTCTCAACAAAATCCTAGCAAACAGAATTCAACAGCATATCAAATTATCATGACTAAATGGGATTCATACCAGGTATGCAAGGGGGATTCAGGATTAGTAAAGTAATGCACTGCATAAATAAAGCAGAAGAACCACATGATTATCTCAATTGATGCAGAAAAAAACATTTGATAAAATTCAACACTCATTCTTGATTTAAACAAAAAAACACACCTCAGCAAAATAGGAATAGAAGGCAAATTCCTCAGTACAATTAAGAACATAAAGACAAAACTAACAGCCAACATTATTCTCAATGGAGAGAGACTGAAAGCAAATTTCCCTTGAGAATGGGAACCAGACAAGGATCTCTTGTTATCACCACTTTTATTCAATATTGTATTGGAAGGCCTAGCTTGAGCACTAAGTCAAGAAAGGGAAGTAAAAGGAATCTAAATTGGTAAGGAAGAAGCAAAACTATCTCTACTTGCAGGTGACATGATCCTGTACATAGGTAATCCCGGAGACTCTATAAGAAAGTTCCTGAACCTAATAGAAGGATTTAGCAAAGTAGCAGGAGGAAGATCAGTGTACGAAAGTCAGTAGGATTCCTCTACACTAACAAAGAGAACTCTGAAAAGGAAATCAAGAAACTAATATCATTTACAGTTGTTGTTGTTGTTATGTGCTGTTGAGTCTGACCTGACTCATAACAACCCCTCCTTGGGTTTCTGAGGCGGTATCATTACAGAGGTAGATTGCCCAACCTTCCTTCTGAGGAGTGGTTGGTGGGTTTGAACTTCCAGCTTTCTGGTTAGCAGTCAAGTGCCTTAGGCACTATGCTACCAGAGCTCCCTTCTTGCCCCTGGAGAACAATGATCTACTTTATGTCCCTGGATTAACCTGTTTTGGACATTTCATATAAATGGCATCATGTACTTTGTAGCCTTTTGTGTCTTTTTCAAAAATTTAGCCATCCTAGTGGATGTGAAGTGGTATCTCATTGTCATTTTGATTTGCATTTCCCTAATGACTAATGAAGGAGCTCTGGTGACATAGTGGCTAAAGCACTTGACTGCTAACCAGAAGGCTGGTGGTTCAAACCCACCAGCCACTCCTCAGAAGGAAGGTTGGGCAATCCTACTTCTGTAGTTATACTGCCTCGGAAACCCAAGGAGGGGTCGCTATGAGTGAGGTCTGACTCAATGGCACATAACAACAACAACAACAATGACTAATGATACTGAGCATCTTTGCATGTACTTATTGGCTGTTTGTGTTTCTTTGGAGAAATGTCCACTGAAGTCCTTTCCCCAGTTTTAAATTTCTTTTTGTTGTTGACTTGTAAGAGATCTTTGTATATTCTGGATACTAGACCTTTATCAGGTAAGTAATTTGCAAATATTTTCTCCTATGCCATGGATTGTCTCTTTATGTTCTTGATAGTATCCTTTGATGTAAAGAAGTTTTAAATTTTGATAAAGCCCATTATGTATTTTCCTTTTGCCTTCATATTTTACTTTTGATGTCACATCTAAGAATCCATCATTAAATCCAAGATCATGAAGACTTAACCTCTGTGTTTTCTTGCGAGAGAATTATAGTTTTAGCTCTTACATTTAGGTCTTTAAATCATTTTGAGTTAATTTTTGCATATGGTGTGAGGCAAGTCTAAGCACCTTTTGTAGAAGAAGATGGTTTTGGCATCCTTGTCGAAAATCAGCTGACCAAAGATGTGTGGGTTTATTTTTGAATTCTGTTTCATAGATTTCTTTATGTCTGTCTTTATGCCAGTACCACAGTATCTTGATTACTGTAGCTTTGTAGTAAGTTTTGAAATTGGGAGCTGCATGAGAACTTTTTTTCCCCAAGATTTTGGCTGTTCTAAATCCCTTGCAATCCTTTATGAATTTTAAGATAAGCCTGTCTGTTTCTGTAAAAAAGACAAGTTTTGGAAGTTTCATAGGGATTGCATTGAATTTGTAGACCAATTTGAGAAATATTGCCATTTTAGCAACACTATGCATTTCAGTCCATGAGCATGGTGTTTTTCCACTTACTAATAAGATTTTTAATTTTTTCACAAAGTTTTGTGGTTTTCAGTGTACAAATCTTGCACCTCTGTGGTTAAATTTGTTCCTAAGTATTATTTTTGATGATATTGTAAATAGAATTACTTTCTTTTTCATTTTTTCAGTTGTTCATTGCTAGTGTGTAGAGATTAACTGCCAGTATTACATAGCCTTGATACATGTGCCCAAACCAAGAAATTACCATTGTTGCAGTGTTCCACTCAGGTTTTACCAGCTTTTCTGCTAATGCCCTGGACCCGGTCCAGAATATTACATTATATTTAATGTTTAATGATTTTTGATTGTGAATTCACATTTCCTGATACTTTGTTTGTGGGCATTCTTTGAGGACCGAGTTTAAAAAGAATGATTCTATAGGGGATTATCTTTTTTCTGCCATTAACAGGCACTAATACCTGAAACCTCTTAAGAAGGTTTTTTTTGGCTAGCTTTTTAGTTGGTTAGAAATTCATCTTATGACTTTGTGTCATACAGGTAGTGTGATTTCTAGTTCAGAATTCAGATTTTGATTTAGGAATCTCTGGTGAGAATTTTTCTTTTCTACTTAGAGCCCATGTGTTGGGAGAAGCAAGGTTTTTTTTTTTTTGTTAAATTTGTCTACTGAATGTCACCCCTTTGAGAGTGTCCAAAAATGGATGGGGGTGTCTTTGATCTGATCTTTTGGCCCAAACTAAGTATCTTGTTTTTAAATTAACATGCTAAGCTAAGTGG